GCTGTGTATCTAGCAATCAGAGTCACTGAAAGGTAGGTTGGGGAATCAGAAAGGCATGATGCTGCTGACAGTCTGTGTTTCTGACAGTAATACGGGAAACTTGCATTAATGATGTTATTTGTTCTATCTATCTATCTATATGCTATGAAAGTATCTTTAATGCTTTAAATACATAAGGAAAGTTTCACTACAATGCAACGTGCACCGACATAGGGCAGATTGCCTCAGTGTGATACATGATTACAAAAGGTAACTGCCTGTCTGTTCAGCTGCTACTCAGATGTGAAATAGAGTCAATTCATTCTAAAACAGTTCAAATTAATTTGGGATGTAAGTGAACAGCTCACTCTTGTATGCATTATGTTTTATTTGATCATTTCCTCCTTTATGTACCTCATAAGTGAAGGGCAGATTCTTCAGTTCTATTACTTTCAGAGGACTAATGCTGAAATTTTCCTTTTCTGTATTTATCTTTACTTATTGTAGGGTTGTGGTTTGGGTTTTGGTTGTTTGTTTTTGATTTTTGTTTTTGTTTTTTAATTTGCATTACTGAAATTGTTAAACTATACTATATTAAAAATACAAAAAATACAAGTAATACAATGAAAAGTCTAAATTGTATCTGGCTGAACAGAATGTATTTAAAAATTAATCCATATTCATAATCAGTATGGAAGCACTTCTTCAGGAGAGATGTCAAACCTCTAGGAGAATGAAAACCACCGTGGATGTGCCCAGTTAGCAGAAGTTACAATTTAAGAAAAAATTATCATCTACTCTGTAGTCTTTGAAGGTTTTGTGCAGGGTAAGAAAATGGGCAGACCGGGACCTCAATACCCAGAAGGAGTGACTGTTCCCTCCTGTGAGCAAAGAGCCATGTTTGCTATTAAAAGTTTTGCTTTCTTAGTTATGTCAGTAAGAAATTATGTTAGTAAGACATTTAAATTTAAAACCACCACACCTGTAGCTAAGGCAATTCTTCAGGCTAAAGCCCAAGAAAAAAAAATGGGTGGGGAGGGTTTCAGACAGAAACTTTGGGAAGCTGTTACACATTATCTAGCCAAATACATATATGTGTATATATGTATATATATAAAAAATATATTTAGTATACATAGATATAAAGCCTCTCTTTGCTGGTAGTAAAATGTATCTCAAAGAAAAGAGGTTATGGACGTACCCATCTACAGCAGCCATGCAGCAAGGCCCCTGTGCCTGGGATCCACAAGACAAGTACATGTGCACAGTGACTATTTTCCCGGATTTCCAAACTCCAGTCATTTCTAACACCAGCAAGGAGGGTTTCCAAATTTCCTTTTTCCTTGCCCTCTGTCCCTTGAGCTCTGCAAGCATGAACTGCTCTCCCTTCCTCCCTCCCTCCCCATCCCTTCCCACTGGAAATGTCACGATCCCCATCTGCTGCCCCTGAACTCCCTGTGCTGGCAGGAACGCACGGGCAGAGCGAAGCAGCTGAAGTCAATCAGCATAATGTGCTGCACCGACACTTGAAAGGCAATTACTTGCATTTTCTGCCAGGAAAAAAATTGTGCAGAAGGGATTATTCTATGTTTCTCTTTTGATGCCTGTAACAGAGATCAGGACGCATCTCCTACATCATCAAGGCCCACTCCTTTTTCCTGTAGCCACCATGTAGCGTACGGTCAGTACGATCACGCGTGTGTTTTACCAGTCAGGCTAACTGGTGACTGAGGGATTGCTTATGCCTTCCATTACATCTCTGGAAACAAGATATGATATTGTAATGCCCAAATTATGTGAAATTTTCTTTCTGTGTCTGTCTCAAACGATGTTACAATTTCTGCCAGCAAAAATACATGTTACTGCAGTCAGCAGGACATCTCTTATTTGAAATTATGCATGCTTCACTGTTGTTATCAAATGAAACCATAACAACCCAGCTCAGAAAGTGTGCGCTGTTATTGGCAAACACATTTTATGGGAACTGCTTCTTCTGATAATTACATATTTGGCGACAGAGGGTGAGGGGGTGAAGAAAAGCTATTTTCCCATCTGCAGCAAATCCTGATAGCTGCGTAAAAACAACAGTAATGAGGGAGAGAAAAAGAGATATTTGTGAAGGCTTTAGATAGTAGTTTCAGATAAGTATGCTGCATGCGAGGCCTTCCTCGATTCATTTTGGTTTGCAGGGAAGGGGGCTTTGCACAGCTCTTTGGAACTCCTGGCAAAACCATAGAATCAGAATGGTTTGGGTTGGAAGGGCCCTTTGAGATCATCTAGTTCCAACCCCATTGCCATGGGCAGGGACACCCTCCACTAGACCAGGCTGCTCAGGATCTGTAGATCTCACTGAATATTTTAAGCAAGAAGTAGTGAATGGTTTACTGAGCAGCATTCACACCATTCAAACTCTGGACAGAGCCAGGAAATGAAGAATTAAAAGTGGATCAAAGTTTACTGAACAATACATTGAAGTAAAGGGAAATATTCAGATCAGTCTTTAACAAGTCCAAGTAATTCTCTTCATCCTAAGTAGACTTCTCTTTACTGTAGAGCCACGAGTATGGGCTCAGGAAAGTCTGGAAAGGAAAAGAAGTTAAATGATAACTGTTGTCAACTCTAAACAACAGCAGAAGAAAGGAAAGCCTCGTCACAGCTCTCTCCCGGGAACAAGACACACAGAGCAAAGCTCTGCCTTCAGCTGTGCCCTTCACCTTACGGTATTGTGGCGATTTCGGGGTAAGCAGTATGTGGGTTCTTACAGCTTACAAAAACCTGTCTCCTCCTGTCCATGGGGGAACGTGGCACAGCAGCCACCAGTGCTGCAATAAGTAGAAACCTTCAGTCATGCGCAGGAGAGAGCTTGAGGCCTCTGAAAGGTCTTTGCTTTATAAAGTTGTGACTCCTGCATTTCTGCCCCGCAATCCTATCTGCTGGCATGTGTAATCATAATCCTTCAGCTGAAGATCTACACTATAAAAGTCTGCAATGCAAGCTACTGAATACATATATTTATCTCTAAATATCCCTATATAGATACCGAAATCCTATTTTTACCTTTCATACGCTGTTAATTTTCTGTAACATCTATAAGGCATTAAAACATGTTGTTATGAAAAATAGTGTGTGTGAATGTCCTTGATTTCCAGGAGCTGTTATTCTCTCCTACTTGTGGTACTTGCTGCTTAATAAACAAAACACTTCTTCTCACACCCCAAATAATTCAGGGCATCAAAAATCTCAGAACACTTTGTCACAATAAACTATTTTGAGACTTCACCTGGTGGTTGCTTGACCCTGCAAAATGGGTACACCAGGACATCATGCAGTAAAACTGTTCCCTAGACCAGTAATACTATTTGAAATGGGCAAAATAGAAGAGCAAAAGTAGGTATTTGTTATCAGGCGCTCTGCCTGCTTTTCCAGTGATATTTTAGATTAAGAGGAAACTGATTGCAGCTCTAGTAACTTGGTTCAAACGTACACAGGAGCTGCTGTGATACCCCACCATGGACTGCTCCTGGAATGCTCTTCAGACTGAAGCACACACAGATGCTTTGTCGTTGCCACTTGGATGTAACTGTGGCTTCTTGTCTCCAGCCATGACACAGTTCTACTTCTTGTATTTTTATTGACTCTATGATTTTGCTTTAGATTCCCAAACCATCTATACTGAAACCAATTTTTAAACAGAGTATCTACATACTTGGGGGGGGGGAAAAAGGGGGGAGTATTGAGTTTTCTGATACCCCATTTGGAAATCTTTACATATAAAGTGAGATTAAAACCTTCACTTCTAATTTTCGTGCTTGATATCTAGCAGCCTGAAAGAGGGTTGGTTTGCTCTGCTTTTTCATTTTTCATTTTTTTCCAGCTACTTGGAAGCAATCTGCTAGATGGAGCAGGACCTGGTGACCAGCATGATGTGCAATTTCAACACAGGCCCATTCACTAGGGAAAAGTGTCTGAACTCACTAAGCAACCACTGGCTGGGGACTGAGGGCAAAACCAGGACTTGCCATCCCCATGTCGTCAGGAAGGGAACTTGTCTGAAGGCAGGAATCTTTTGTACACTGCACTGGTCAGCTGCCTTTCACCATACATTCCCACCAAAGTTCCACAAAGCCTGAAAGGATACCAGCTCTCTTCCTGAGCACCAGATCTTATACTCCACCAAAATATTGCTGAAGGTCTCAGGTGTGGAGGTGCAGCAGAGGAGGTGTATGTTGGATGCTGGGCTGCCCAAGAGGCAGAAGCCATAGCAAAACCTTTAGACCTGTTTTTGGTAAATGAGGAATAGATCAACCTGCTGAGGAAGGACCATCCTCCTGCTTCTGAAGGAGACAGCTTGTCTAGCCTCTGCCCCTCAGACTCCGAGCAAGCTATGTGGCTGCAGTTACAGCTTTAGGTGGCTAAATGCAGCCGTATTGTACCAGTTGCATGTTACTCACATCAGCTAGTACCACATAACAAATTGTTACTCCTCCAGTTCAGCCCAGTGCAATGGAACATTAGGAAACACCTAATCAGAAAATAACAGAAGAATAAAAAACATTTCTCAAATTGATTGTATAAACAACTTTTATTGTTAAAATAAAAAAATAACAAAACGAGAGTTCCCAGATTCAATTGTTGTTTTATTTTCAATTGAGTACTGAACTTCTGACTCTTGCACTTCAAAACTTCAAAACTTTTATTAGTTTTGCACAGTCTGAAGGACTCAGCTTTTCCATAACTCAAGGCACAGCATCAAAACGCAGTCCTCAGCCTGACATCCAATCAGGGTTACTCTGTGGATTAATCAGGATGCCTAATTCCAAGAGATTTTGTGCACATTGGCTGAGCATCTCATTACAGCAGTGCTATAAATGGATAAGACTATCCATCATTTAGCTTTCCAGACAGTACATGATGTATTCTACCTCAGGAAAATTAGTGTGCTTATTATTTCTTGGCTCGGATTCCCGTTGCTTGCAGAAGCAACTTCCATGTTCTGGAATTATTTGAAAAGTTTGTAACATTCAAAAACCATCTTGTTTTACTATCATGGTGAAATTCAAGCACACGATGACATTATTCTCAGAATCATCAGAGAATCCTTGTAAAATAACATTATAATTGCCCTAAAACAAGAAAGGAAAAAAAAAAGAAAGAAAATCAGTGCATAATGCTGCCCGCTCTTGTCTAAGTATGTGCTTGGAATGGTTCTCATGATTTCTGTTCGGACTGAAAGAGACAGATTCCCATCAGGGACTGTTATCATTGATATATTCAGATATATGTGGACATTAAAAAAATAGTGTTCAGCTTTCTTCTCATGACCAGAGCAGTAGGCTGTCGTCCAGCTTGTACTTGTCAGGGTCCTATCTCACAGTCCTGTTCTCCCAAGGACACCTGCTCCCCTTTCCAGAGCTGTTCTCTTGAGTATACAAACAGGCATTAAATGACTTGATACACCAGGCTGTGTTCTGCAGCAATGGCCTTTTTGCCCCTGCCATGAGGCAGTAGACTTATTAGCCCTTACAGCTTACATCCATCAAGGATTCTCCTGCCAGTATTTCTATTTTCTGCTGACTTTCTATGACATTCTTGCCCCAATACCCACATGCAGACCATAGGTAGTTGTAATAACAGCCTTTATTTTATACAAGTAGTCCTAGGGAAATCCTCTGGGCTACCTACCACACAGCTTCTGACCAGTCTTGTAACAGGACTTGTACTGGGCATTCCAACTTTTTGTTTTCAGATAAAACCACACACTGGATATTTAACTGCTATTCAGCCTCAGTGGTGTTTACCAAAATCATCAACTTATAATGAATGCATTGTGTGAATATATCAAACATCCGCTTGATGAAAGTTAAAGCAACCTCGTACTATTATTGGTGGCAAAAGGTTTGTCCTGAGTTTTGACGTGATGTCAAGATTATAAGCATAGAATCATAGAATTTGTTAGGTTGGAAAAGACCTTTAAGATCACCAAGTCCAACCATTAACTCAACACTGCCAAGTCCACCACTAAACCATGTCCCCAAGTGCCATACCTACAGGCCTCCCAAATACCTCCAGGGATGGTGACTCAAACCCTTCGCGGGACAGCCCGTTCCAACATCTAGCAACACTTGGTGAAGAGGTTTTTCCTAACATCGAATCTCAACCTCCCCTGGTGCAACTTGAGGCCATTTCCTTGTGTCCTGTCACTTCTCACTTGGGAGACCAACTCCCACCTCCCTGCCACCTCCTTTCGGGTAGTTGTAGAGAGAGATAAAGTCTCCTCTGAGTCTCCTTCTCCTCAGTTCCCTCAGCTGCTCCTCACAGGACTTGTGCTCCAGACCCTTCCCCAGCTCCGTTGCCCTTCTCTGGACACGCTCCAGCACCTCAGTGTCTTTCTGGCAGTGAGGGGCCCCAAACTGAACACAGGATTCGAGGTGCGGCCTCACCAGTGCCCAGCAGAGGGGGACAATCACCTCCCTGGTGAGCTGCTGGCCACACTGTTCCTGATGCAGGCCAGGATGCCATTGGCCTTCTCGGCCACCTGGGCACACTGCTGGCTCATATTCAGGCAGCTGTCGACCAACACCCCCGGGTCCTTTTCCGCCAGGCACCTTTCCAGTTATTTGTCCCCAAGCCTGTAGCGTTGCATGGGGCTGTTGTGACCCAGGTGCAGGATGAAGTACACTAGAGAGAGGAAAGTGGGAGGAAGGACCCGTGTGAGTGCTGTAGTCGTTCTTTGGTCCATTATCAAAGCATAGCCAGCACTTCTCATGTGAGGTCTCAAGCTGCCTACTTAAATCAAGCTGTCAGGGCCCAGATCACCTCCCTGCATGGAGCATCTGCTCCCTGAGTAGCAAAATACTGCTTGCCTGAACCTCAGCCATAAGCCCAGCTCTGTCAGCCACACTTTCTCACAGTTCACACTGCTGTAAGCAATACCGGTCTTTGCATCAGCTCAGCATTCCGTCTAGACCCACCACTTTGCTCATCCATATCCAGCAGCTTGATCCATAAAGCAGCATCACCTCGGGTTTAGCTGTTGTTCAGCTACCCATCATGACAGCCTCAGACAGACAGACCTTGGTAGGCACCAGGACAGAAGATAGCTTGGTGGCTCCTACTGAATCCAGGTCTTACCCTACCTTCTTTGACATCTGTCACCTTCCTCTTCAGTTATGGCAAACTGGGGATGAGCACTTGGGAGCTGAAGGGCTCTTAGGACTAATCTAAAGACTGGGAAGCTTGCAAGAGTTTCTAGTTTATAGCAAAGGCTATGGCTAGGGTTAGTTCCTGGTCCAGCAGAGTCCCATCAGTCAGTGTCAGGTCTTCCAAAAAACAGCTCAGCTATAGGAGGATTGCTTATGGCAGAGGACATTCCTGTCTACTAACAGCTCTGGAGCTAGAAGAGATGCTGGGCTGGATAAAGTTCAACACTGTTAGAGGCCAATGAGCTTTGAGTTAGGGGGAGGCTGGAGATTTCTTACCAGTGGGAGCACCTTAGTGATACTTGTGGGGATTAATAGGGGTTGTAAGGGTCTTGGGAAGGCTCAGGCAGCTGAAGAGGAAGGTGTTGGGTGAGAGTGGGCTAACCTGAGGACTGGTGCTGCTTATGGTTTAACATTGGAGCATTGCATTTACTTTTGGATATTGTTATCCCTCTTCAAATCTCTGAAAAGGGTTTCAGGGAGGAACAGACAGGCATGTGAAGAGAACGTAAAATAGAGAATGAAATGGGCACAAAGAATATGGATGGACTTACTCAAACCAGTAAAAAGAAACACAATAATTTACCAAACAAAATGGAATGATTAAGGTGACATTAACTGATATCTCTGGGGGTTTTTTTATAAAATAAAGGAGGAATAATAGAGAAATAATAACCTGAGGACATCTAGCATTTCAAAGATGCTACCATGCTGGAGTCATCACTTCAAGCATGAGAAAGTTTTCTGACATTTGCTTTTGCTGTTTTCTACAGTTTGGGTGAACATCTCTTTTCAGGAAATACATACATGTAAGTATGCGACTTTACTATTGCTATTTCTTTATATAGAAATGCAGAGAATTACCTTTGGAAACTTTATTCTTGAACCTTTAATGTTAAAATCTGTTGCAATTGTTTCTGTAAAACAGAGATAATAATAACATAAATTGTTGCACACTCATAAAGACATCAATCAAAGTTCCTAAATAAGTTCAAAGCAATATAGGATATCTCTCAGCAGCAGTGCCAATGCCATTTAATCTTCCATCGGTAAAGCCGTCACCTTTTACTTCCTCCAGAGCTCTGCTTATTTGTCTAAGCCACACGAGAAAACAGAAGTTACTCACAATGCTATTGCAACATCTCCTACAGACCTGTGGTAACTCCAGTAATTTAACTTCTAACAGTAGTTCAGCTGAATGATAACCAGAGGGAGCTAATATTAATTTTTAAAGAAAAGAAAACACAGAATGCATATTTTTGTCTCCTTACAGGTCTTTTTGGCCTTTAGTCTGACATCCTTCCTGAATTCACTGGATCTGAGCCTATTCACGTTAATGTTGGTTAGCTCCTACAATAGGATTGACACTTTCATAATAAGAAATTACTTACATATGGGTGTAGAGTATCTCTTTAAAATCACATCCAGACACTTACCTAAATAAACTGTGTTCTGGATATTAGTAGTGTCCCTAGCTGCTCTCAAAATGTCTGTACAGTCCAGTGAAATGTAGCCTTTCTGTGTCATTTTAGAGGTGTTAACAATGTCATTTTAGAGGTGTCATAATGAGACGAAAATTATTAGTAATCCTAATTTATAAGGATGGAAAAATCAGTACCAGGATGCTTAAGCACAGAATTTGGAAACTATTTTAGTGGGGTTCCAGCACTGGAGAACTGCCTGCTCTGACATCCACTGCCTGCCACGCAAGGTGAATCGGTCTAAACTGCAGAGAGAAAAATCCATCTGCATGGGTCAACCAATTAGTCTTCTAAGAAATCTGTTTAGTGGTGAAAAAGAGCTGGCAGGATACGGCCCTGTTGCAGAGGGAACCTACCAGGCAAGGCAAAGGCACCACATATTTTCCAAACCAACCTCCTTTCAGCATTCCGCACACTGAGTATTCATCGTCGGCTCCGCTGCAAAGGATTTCTTGCCAGTGCAATGCTTTGTCGCCATTGTACCAGACATTGAAGACGATCTTCAAAAAGGTGATGTCACTTCCTAGTTAAGACATTGCAAGTAAGAAAATGGTATTGGGTGGGGAAGAAAAACATATATGCAGATGCATCATTTAGATAAAAACTAGTTTTCTCTGAAATACAATATTTTTAAAAGACTCCCCCCCAAAACTAACAAAAATACATGTCTTGAAAGATGACTTCCAGAAAAACAAAAAGCTGCTTTTCAACAAAAACCACCAGTCTTAAAAAATATTTGAGTGGACAATTTCCAAACCTGTTTTCATTTCTTCAGTAAAGACACCAGAGTTCTCTCAGCTCCAGAGCTAGCCCAAGTGAACACTCACATGAGGACTCTGTACTTTTAAGCAGGTGGTTGCAAACAAACCATCCTAAATGCTGGCAGCCATCAGAAAGACATCTTTCCAGGGAAATAAACTTAGTCCAGCTCCAGAGTTTTTACCCAGAAGGTGAAGTTTATGATACAGCCATTTGGTAAGTAACTTGGCTTGCCAGCTTCAATCTGGGTTTAAAGACTAAAGCTGGGTTTGCATACACAATCCAGTGCCATTTCCAGCTTCTGGAACATGGATATTCTTAGCAGAGTCCTGCCATACTTGGATATCATAGCGTAATGATATTCTGTGTCCTTAAAAAGACTCGGATCTACTTCAGGGCAGAAGAGTTTGTGTGCTGCGAATCTTGTCTGCTTCTTCCAGACAAATGCACATGAACCTAAACCGTCTCAGATTTGAATGTGCAGTGCCAGATAGTGCAAAGAGCTCTGGTAACTGCTCCAAGAAGTAAAACTCAAGCATGCTTATTTCCACAAATCATTGTTTCTGTCCATCACCGTAGTTTATCTATTACATTTTTAATCACAGAAACTGATCTCCTAAATCGTTCGGCATTTAGGATGAAGTGTCAGCTTTTCGCTAGTATTCATTTTTTTTTCCATTTGCAGAATGTAATTGACTGGTCAAGACAGACTCACTTGGAATCCAGGTAAGAGCAGCCTTCCAGACGGATTTGTTCATGAGGCTGCAAGGTGTCAGATTAAACATGAAAGCATGAGCTGTAGAATCTACCGGAAAAAAAGGTATTTCACATTGGTGGTGTGAACAGGCTTCTTTAGGAAAATAATAAAAATATACATATATACACAAAATAAACACATTTTAAAATGTATTTAATATAAATA